TTAGATTCCCCGTTTTCTCGTTTTAGCAAACAAGCATAGGGTCCAAAATAACGGCATTATAAAAGTAGAAGGTTTAAGCCAAGGGACTAGAAGCTGGATTGTCAGATCACGATTAAATATTTACTCCCTCCGTTCCTAAATATTTGTGTTTCTAGATATATCAACAAGTAACTACATACGAAGCAAAATGAGTGATTCTACACTCTAAAATATGTCTATATATATCAGTATGTGGTAGTCCATTTGAAATCTCTAAAAAGACAAATATTTAGGAACGGAGGGAGTAGGATTTTAATCAACACTTTTCTTTCATGGTATTCATTAATTTGGGAGACTGGGATATGATTTTACTCTTAAGATAAGAATATATTTGCACTATAGTTACAAGGCAGGAAGTGGGCAGTGAACGTACATGACAAAGGAGTGCGGGTTAACTCGAGGACAGAAAGTATCCTTGTTTTGTCTACTTACTGCTAAGACGAGTGTGCTGTAAACATATCCACGGCTCCACCCCATCCTTGGTATAATCTTCCCATTTTCATTTCCCCTGATTGTTCAGTCGTCCCACATAGATTCCTATGTGTGGTTGCTCTATAAATTAGGGCGTCCTAGACTGGGTTAAACCCTGGTGTAAACTAACTTCCAATGGCTTCTCCCGTGTTCTTGTGCATCCTCCTGATCATATTTGGCAGCTACCTTTGTATTTCTGCTGCAGGCGACGATAAGCAAAACTTCGTTGTGGTGTCAACCAGGTCATTTCAGACAGAAGATGTCTGCTCCACATCGACAGGTACATACAGCGGTACATGAATTGAGTATGGCATAATTTTTGATTTGGATATTAGGAACAGTATGACACTCGGAAGTTTCAGTGACGCCTCGGCCAAACCGCGCCGCTGCGCCCCTGGTGCACAGGCACGGACCCTGTGCGAAGTCGCAGTCCACCAACAGGCCTTCTTTCCCGGAGGCGCTTCACAGAAGCCGCGTCCGCGCAGACTACATCATGAGCAAAGCGCTGAGGGGCACCACGATGCAGGAGCAGGACGAGGGCAAGGTGAGCATCCCGGCGTACCTGGGCACCTCCGTCGACTCGCAGGAGTACGTGGTCACGTTGGGCCTGGGCACGCCGGCCGTGGAGCAGGTCGTCCTCCTCGACACTGGCAGCGACCTGTCGTGGGTGCAGTGCGCGCCATGCAACTCCAGCGACTGCTACCCTCAGAAGGATCCCTTGTTCGACCCGCGCAAGTCCTCCACCTACGCTCCCATCGCCTGCGGCTCTGACGTCTGCAAGATCCTCCAGTCCGACCACCACTTGAACAATGGCTGCACCATGAACGGCAATGGCACCCAGTCCCACTGTGGGTATCGAGTCGAGTATGGAGGAGGGTCAAAGACCAGTGGCGTGTACAGCAACGAGGCGCTCACGCTAGCGCCCGGCGTCGTCATCAAGGACTTCCATTTCGGCTGCGGATACAAGCAGGGCGGCCCCAACGACAAGTTCGACGGCCTGCTCGGACTCGGCGGCGCGCCCGAGTCACTCCCGGTTCAGACCTCCGGAGTCTACGGCGGCTCTTTCTCCTACTGCCTCCCGCCGGTGAGCAGCGGCACCGGGTTCCTCGCCCTTGGTGCGCCCAGCAACACCTCGGCCTTCTCATTCACGCCCATGACCCCTTTCATGGATTACGCCACGTTCTACGTGGTGCAGCTCACCAGTATCAGTGTCGGCGGGAAGCAGCTCCACATCCCACGGAAGGCATTGGAGGGGGGCATGATCGTAGATTGCGGCAATATCATCACACAGCTACCAACGACGGCCCACGCGAAACTGCAGTCCGCGCTCCGGGCGGCCATGGCAGCTTACCCACTCGTCCCAAGCGACCCGGGCGAGACATGCTACAACTTCACCGGATACAGCAATGTCACCGTGCCCAAGGTCGCTCTCACGTTCAGCGGCGGCGTCACGGTCGACCTCGATGTGCCCAACGGGGTTCTGTTGGACGGCTGTCTGGCCTTCGCCGAGTCCGGGCCAGATGGTTACGGCGGGAACATCGGCAATGTCCAAATGAGAACGTTGGAGATGTTGTACGACGTTAGGGGTGGTAGACTCGGATTTCGGGCAGGTGCCTGCAGTTGACTCCTCAAGCTATACCTCAATCGATCGGGAGCTAGCTTACCAAAAATAAGATCGGTTTGGTGGTAACTGCTCGACTACTCCACATTTTTACCTTAATGATGGTACAGTCCTATACTCTGTACTCGTCACAAAGTCAACATGATGAATTCCAATGTTACCCTTGAATGTTCAACTTGAGACGGCATGTGTGTTAAAGAAACAAAAAAAAGGGTCTTGCCCACATCTTCAGCACCAAATCACTTTTATTAGATTCGCTACCACAAGAGATGCGCTAGACTATACATTGTACTTCACTAGCTAAGAGCATCTCCAACAGCCGCCCAATGCGCGGCCCCCAAAAAAGGTTTACAGCGCGCAAGTAGTTTTTCTTAGGGCGCTAGAAGACGTTTGCTTCAACAAGCGCTGCAAAATATGTTGCGTGCGCGAGTTCAGTGGTTCCAATCAAGTGGTCCCATCTGCAGCAGCCTAGAGTTTGCAGCGCGCGTGACCGGGCGCACTAAATATGCTGCACGCGATGCCTTTTTAATGCGCGCGCTGCATTAGTTACAGCGCGCGCGTGCTTTTTGTGCGGCTGCTGGAGAATTCAAATCGAGTCCGCGCGCTAAAAGCAGTTTCTATACCGCGCATCGCTTATATAGCGCTTCTGTTGGAGATGCTCTAACGATCACTATTACGCACTACTATCGATCGTAGCCCCTCAATAGTGTTGGGTGAATACGTCGGTATCTGAAAGAAAAACTGTGTCAACACCAAATGGAGGAGAAGCATGATGGATGGGATCGATCTGGCTTGCGCAGCCGGCTAACCTTAACTGCTTCGAATGGACTTGCTTCCTTCAAATTACTGTTGCGGAATGTTAGTCTGTCTTGGGCTCCTGACGAGAGGACATTACTTAATGGCGCTGTCTTCTCCACCAAGGGCGCCTACGAGGCGCTGGCTTCTCAGCTGGCCGACCCTACTCATGCTCACATTTGGAACTCTCGTGTCCCTAGCCGAGCGTGGGTGTTCGGCTGGATCTTCTACCTCGACAGGCTCAACGCTGGGGTAAACCTTCACCTCAAAACCATCATCGTCATGCGGCAAAGTTCACGATTTTAGAAAAGTTCACGATTTTGAAAAATGTAAGACTTGCAAAGTTCATTATTGGGAAAATTTTGCGAAAATGAAAAGAAATCCACAAACTCAAATTAAAATAACAAATGATTTGTAAAAAGTCATAATTTTGGAATTTTTCACTAAATTTCAGAAATGTTAACAAATTTAACAAAAATTTAGCATATTTGAAATGAAAATTTGACAAATAATAAAAAATGTTTCCAAATTTTAATAATTCTTGAAATTAGGAAAAGTTTCAAATCTGATAAAAATTAAAAAACAGAAATAAAATGAAACGAAATATGACAACTAAATGATAAAAACCAATGAAAAAAGAAACCTTAATGGGCTGGCCCATCGAGATATCAGTTTACTGGACGGGGTGGGTGCCGATTAAAAATACACACTATCCGGTGCTTAACGCACCAAATAGGAGTTGGGATTTTCTTTACCATATTTTGAATAAGCAATGTTAGTTATTGGCAGCAACTAACGAAGGAGCGCTTCTTCTTGGCGCGCTCTTAGTCGTCGTCAGTTGTCACGCTCTGGGAGGTCCCCTCAGATTTTTATTTTATTTTTCCGCACTGGCTTTTGGCTTTTTAGATGGGTCTTTCGTTTTTATTTTTTGGGTTTTTCATTTTTCCCCCGGTCTTTCTTAGGTTTTGGACCCAAAAAAATTTTTTGCACGAAAAACGCATCTCTTGCTTCCTCGAGCGTGCCCCTTTTGAAAAAGAAAGTGTTTTTCTCTTTTTTTTCCTTCCGTGAGTGGCATGGATTTTCTTCTGCGAGAGGCATAGTTGTGCATCTCGGAAATGAAAAAAAACACATTTTTTTTCCTTCTGCGAGAGGCACGGTCATGCCTCTGAGAAACAAAAAAATGTGTTTTCTTTTTTTCTCTTCCGCTTTCTCGAGAAGCACAGATTTGCTTCCATGATAGGCACAACCGTGCCTCTCAAAAACGGAAAAATAAACGCATTTTGTTTCCCTTCCACGACAGGCACGGTTTTACTTCCGCGAGAGTCACGAATTTGTTTCCGTGATAGGCATGGTTGTGCCTCTCCAAAACGAAAAAAAAATGTATTTTCATATTTTTCCTTCCGTGAGAGTCACCGGCTTACGTCTCGTTGAGGCACGGATTTCCTTCCCCGAAAGGCCCAGTTGTGCCTCTTTCAGAAAGGAAAAAAACATCTTGTCGGTTCGGTTTTTTGTTTGATTTTTCATTAAAATAAATTCGTCAAAACCTATCAACATGATATCTAGCTTTGATGAAAACGGTTTGAAATTTTTCAAGAGATAAAACGTTTTGAATAGACGGACCTACGAGAAAAAAAAAACTCACACGTTGTGACAAGTGGCGCACATGCAGAGCACCACTGTTGCAACCTGAGGAGGTAAGAGTGCTCTTTAATTAGTGATCTTGATAGTTATTATTCCATTTGATGGTCATTTTAAAACATGTTTATGCCCATGCCAGATGGGCTGCTATCAACCCAACAAAGATAATCAAATAGCAAGAGCTCAAGTAAGGTAAACAAAAGATTTTAAAAAATAAGGTACACAAAACGGGCCAGTAGGGCTGTGATTCTGAGGCATGGGTTGAGCAAAAAAATCTAATCGACTAAGCTCAAGTCAGACTCAACTAAATGAGCCAGCTCGAGCTAGCTAGGATCACAAATCATATCAACAACGTGTTAATTATTACCCGACCTCGGAGATAAGCTTCTTCTTCTAAATGAAACACCAAAAAGAAGTTGAATACATGTGGACAACTTCATCTGCCCTCGGCGAGAACGGACGCCGAAGACCCATAAGACACCGTAGAATTGCTAGTCGCCGATGGAGGGTACGACATAACGTACGAATCGAAGCCTTCATTCTCCATCAGCGCCAACATACTGTAGCTCATGTAAGTCGGCGACAAGTCAGGAACCGACTGCCCACGATCTAGGTATTGCATAACCTTGCGCATACTAGGCCTTGCATCAGGCAATGGGTGCGAGCACAACAAACCTAGTTGTAGCACGAGGGTAACCTCCTGTGTGTCAAACTTTTCTGTTAGTCGTGGATCCACTGCCTCGAGTAAGTGTCCACTGCGGTGGCGCTCAAGCACCCAATCAATCATCACCACAGGGTTGTTTCGCTCGCCGCGCTCGATGGGTCGTCGTCCACACGCAACCTCAAGGAGGAACACACCGAATGCGAACACATCGGTTAAGGGTGTTGCCTTCCCGGTGCGCACAAGCTCCGGTGCAAGGTATCCCATGGTGCCAACAACATGGGTTGTTTGAGCAACGGTTCCATGGTCGTATAACCTTGCGAGGCCGAAATCCCCGAGGCATCCATTCATCTGTTCATCCAAGAGCACATTGCTCGCCTTGATATCTCTGTGGATGACAACCTTCTCCCAATCCTCGTGGAGATACAGCACGCCTGACGCGACCCCTTTGATGATTGAGAACCTTTCAGGCCAAGATACGGCGGGCAGGCTTGGATCGTGCAAGTACTTGTCAAGGCTGCCATTTGACATGTAGTCATACACCAAGATAAGCTCGTCCTTGCGCCGGCAGTAGCCCAATAGCTGCACGAGATTCCGGTGCCGGAGACGGCCAATGCTCGCCACCTCGGCGACGAACTCGCGCAGTCCTTGCCTTGATTCATGCGACACCCTCTTCACCGCAATCTCCAAATTGGACTCGGATATCAGGCCTTTGTACACCCTCCCGAAGCCTCCGACGCCGAGCAAGTTTTTTTCCCTGAACCCATCCGTGGCACGATGCAGATCCTTGTATGCGTATCGGTGGGGGCCGAACTCGTCTTCCCAGCCTTCGCGCACCTCGGCGAACCGGCGCCGGCGCCACAGAAAGAAGAAGACCGCGGCCAGCGCCACCGCGACGAGCAACGCGCTGGCCAGCGGCAACACGATGTCCAGTACCTTGGACCGAGGCTTGGGTCCCAGGCGTGGCAGAGCAGGAAGCTTGGAGAAGTCAAGCGGCGGGGCAGGCCCGTCCAAGCTGAAGCTCCATCCGAGCAGGTAGTGATGCCCCGAGATGACTCCCGACGACGCCGAGAAGCCGACGTACATGGCGTCCGCCATGAGCGTGGAGAGGTCGATGGCCTCGGAGAGCAGAGGCTTGCTGGGCTTGGGCACCTGCACGGGGGCTATTGTCACGTCGAGCCGCTTGGACTGGCCGTCGTAGTCCACCCACACCTGCATGGGGTTGCGGCTGTTAAGCGTCAGGTTCCGGAAGGCGCCGCCGCGGTCGTCATCGTAGTAGCCAGCCCGCTGGGCCTGCCGCGACACGAGGCTGTTGACGTCGATGCCGACGTGGTTGCTGTTGATGTCGCGGAACTCGGGGCTGAGGATGGTGTCCAGCTCGACGGCCAAGATGGGGGCGCTGGCCGTGCCGTTCGTGGAGTTGAGGAGGCCCAGGTACTGGCCGGAGTTGGCGGTGGTGAAGTCGGTGGTCGGGGCGACGACGAAGGCGAGCCCGTGGTCGCTGAGACCGTCGTAGCCCGACACGATGGCGAAGACGAAGCACGTGGAGAAGGAGCGCGCCGCCGTGGCGTTGACCGAGCCGCCGAGGAAGCGGAGCGGGGCGGGGTGGAAGGCGTGGGCTTTTGTCTGCTGCGTGAAGTTGGTGAGCGCGAGCAGGCCGCCGGGCATGACGGCGGCGAGGCCGTCCAGGGTAAGGTTGGCGCCGGCGAAGCCTTGGTAGGCGAACTGGCCATCGTCCAGCTGCGACCAGGCCACCTCGCCGCCACGGCTCAGCAGCAGGAGTATGAGCAGCAGAAGGGCCGGCATGGTTTCTTGGACAAAAGAAAACTCAGTAGTATGACTGAATCATGGGCGGCTAACCAAAATTTGCCTCGTTTGTGATCATGCGCTAGACTTTAACGGTGTGCTGGTTGTGCACATACGGTGCATGCACGGTGGTTGTGCAGTCGGTGTATGAATGCCATCTAGCATGCTGAAAGTCCTTGACAAGACTACTCCGACGGCTATGGATGGATCTTGAATATGTCAGCATAAGACTAGTCCTCCTTGAGAAAAAACACACAACTTGTCCAGTGCAATTACTTCCTTGGATGATACGGCACCGTTGTAGGCCATAGACAATTCTGCGATCCATCTTTGTTATCATCACAGGTTGCTAATTTTTCAACTCCCGCTTCGACTTGTTTACTAGTAGTAATACTTGTGAGAAAAGCTGGGCGGACGGCGTGCCCTGCACTGCTGGGTGCGATCGTTTTCAGTGCCGGCCTAGGCATGGTAGGAAAACGATGCATGGCTAGCGGGTCAAAGAACCCACGTGTTGTCAGGGCCGGCATAGTTCCTTCACTACCAGAATTTACCCAATTGGCGACGGCCTCATCTATGCCGACGGCACCTGTCCGGCATAGATGGATGTATCCCAACGGCCCAGGTTAGGTCGTCGGCGTAGATAAGCAGTCGGAATATATCCATCTATGCCGACGGGGGCCGTCGGCATATGTTTGCCGTTAGCATCGCAAACTATATGCCTACGGCGGCCGCCAGCATAAGAGCGATCGTCGGCATATTGTGGGCCCGGCAACCCGGGCAGCGACAACCGTTTGACGGCGTGAAGCCTATGTCGACAGGCCTAACAGTGGCCGTCGGCATAACTTTGCCGGCGTCATCGATCCGCGTGCTCTGCCACGTCATCGATCCAAGCCACTCGCCAGTCCGTGGGGTGGCATCTCTATGACGACGGCCTTGCCGTCGGCATATGCCTTGCCCATGGCGCCTGGCATGTCATCGATCTGCACCATACGCCACATCATAGATCCATCGGCATAGATTTCTAATATTTTTTTAATATTTCATTTATTTTCTCTTTTATTTTATTTTTCTCAAAACTAATTTGATTAACTTAAATGTGCCTTATGTATAGAAAACATATCTCGATTATATATTGATTGCCCCCCCCCCTCACGAGCGTCGCTGCCGCCGTGTCACAGAGAGGGGAGATGGGACAGGGTACCTGGGGGTAGCAATGCCACCAGGTGTTGCGGTGAGCCCCCCCCCTCACGAGCCTCGTTGTAGCCATGTCACGGAGGGGGAAACGGCCACGTCGGGCCGACACAGAGGAAATATTGGGGTGGGTTGCGCCGGGACCATGTTCGGGGCGGTAGCTATGGGCTGGGCTATGACAACCAGGTGAAAAGATCCACCGGTCAAACCCTGTACAACGAAAGTCAAAGGGCTAGATCTGACGGTCGTCTGTTTCAGGGTTAGATGAGACGGGGT